TGTAGAGTAAATTAGTGCAATTACTTGGAAAACAGTTTGGTATTGTCTCTTAAAGTTGAGCATTCAATGCATGGTTTCTGATCCCACAATTTGACTCAAGCACCCAAAGGAAATTTTGTCACTTGTGAAGCAGGACACATGGACAAGAATATTCATAGTGGTACTGTTCACTCTAGAAAAATCTGGAAATAACCTAAATGCCCATGAATGGGAGAATAATCCATTTTAATGCAGTGGAATATTATACAGCAATTAAAATGCAATATGGATGTAATAGGATATTAAGAGGAAAAATCCTAAAATAGTATAGACAGCATGACTTTTTGATAAAATATAAGACCTAAACTCAAAAATATGCTTGATCTATCTACCTACCTACCTACCTACCTATGGGAGGAAAGGAAGGAAGGAAGGAAGGGAGGGAGGGAGGGAGGGAGGGAGAAAAAAAAGATAAAAGTTAGAGAGGAAAGCAAGTGAATGACCACCACATGGATTCAGGAGGAGGATTAATTACGTTGTGTCAGGAAAAGCAGGGAAATGTGATAATAAGTAAACTGTGTGGTTAGATACAGGTTATTAAGAGTTATGACTTATATTTTCACAAGTGTTCATTATATTCCTATTAGTTAATAACCAATCATCTAAATAAAAGTGAGGGGGGAAATAGTCACTAGCTAGGCAACTATATGCCCAGATAAAACTCGTGGTTTTTATTGCTAAGAGGAAGGAAAGGAGAATAGATTCTGGGTGGGTGGGGGGGGGGAAGAAGGAAGAACAGTCTCCACGCACCACTCACTTTATTACTTCAATCTCTACATTGTTCAATTAGAGGAGTTTTATTTGATCGTTTTCCCTTCTTAATAGACTTAATAGTCTCTTATTCCTGGGCCCATATTTTCAAGCTTCCCGCTTGATTTCTTTAACATATTAAACATTTATTGTATATTCTCCAACTGATAAGTCCCTGTTACTGCTTGTGGTCTCTGCTGGTTCTTATTCAGCATCTTGTTTGTGTCTTTGGGATTTTGGACTGTGAGCTATTTGTTTTCCTTTGAGCCTTACCTGTGGTAATCCTTTGAACCTGAGTTGAAGGAGAGTTCCTCCAAAGATGATTTTGATTTGCTTCTGCCAATCACCTGGGGACGATAATAACCTACGTCCGTTTTGACTCTCTGCTTCGGTTTTTGGACCACAGAGGTAGTGTGAATTCAAACCATGCACCCACATGGAAATTGACTTGTGGGTATGGATTCTTGGAGATTTTAAAAATTTTCCTGCATCCAGTGCCAAGACGAAGGCAAGTATGTTTCCATTCCATCTTCCACCACTTGGCAGATTTCTTTGTCCACTTTATACTTTGTACATAGCCCTGCGAAGCCCCAGCCTTCCTGGAGGATTTCCTAGTAGATATCCCACATGCGGCGGGCGCCACACCTCACTTCCTAAGCCCTGAACCCTGCATAATTTTAAACACAAAAGTTCAAGGTTACCAAGGTTCAGCAGAAACTCTCAGCATCACACTCACCTGTCAGCACTTGGTTAGACAACTTTCAAAAGGCCCTCACATCTTCAGGAACAAAAGTTGCTCATAGCAAGTTCTTAACACTTTTTTCTGTCCTCAACTGAAGCAACTCTTCATGCTTTGAGAACAGATTTACTTTCTAGAAACAGAAGAAAGCAGGTTGGGATAAAGAGCTCCCACTTCTTCTCTTTATGGGGGTGCTTCGGACATTCCTTACTTTTGTGCCAACTGGGGAAAGCATTTTAAAATACGTAATTTTATTTTGTAATTAACAGTGTAGTTATTCCAGTTAGGAGCACTGTTAATGGTATTGAAGCTGTCAGAAACAGACGTCACTAATACACGTCAATGACAGTTGACTACTTCTGTTCACACAGGACCTAAGACTGGGTTGCTAACGATTGACTGTGTGGTGCGCCAGCTACAGTCCACGTTCACTTCCTTGCTTTTAGCAGAAATATGCCATGGACATGTAAATCCAATTCACTTCGCGCTGTTCTAGGAAAAAATCATCTAGGTTCAACAGGACGAAATGCTATCTTCAGGTGTGAAAAAATCAGGCTTACATGTTCTTTTTAACTGAAAAGCACCATCACTGTGGGACGGCCACACTGACTATACCAATGGGCTACCAAGATGGCTGAGACTGACCTCAAATAACTCACAAACGAGTAAGGAAAGAGACAACTAACGAAACATGATTAAATGCTGCACAGAGATATGGTTTTCTTTTTTTTTAAAAGTGATTAGAGCTCAGAGGACAGAATTGGGAAAGGCTTCCCACAGTGTGTGACATTTAACCCAGCTCTTAAAGAATAAGCAGGTGCTTTCAAAAGACAAGTGAAGAAAAGAATTACAGATGGAAGGGACAAGCTTAGGCACCAAGAAGGCATAACAGAGCAGGGCAGAGCAGAGCAAAGCAGGTTCGGTAAACAATGAAAGGTTGTGAATGGCACACAGATTCTGTACAGAAACCTTAATCACTCAAGCCAGAAAACAACTTTCTTCCAGGTTCCCCCCCCACCCCTTTCTTCCCCTCATCGGGAGCCAGACAGCTAATTCCACCCCAAGCTGTCGCTTAAATCCTCTCCTGTCCATTCAGCTACTTTACCTCCCCCAACTTTTGCCTAGAATATTCCAAGTTTCTTAATTGGGCTTAGATCTCCCCACTTCCATTCCAGCGTAGTCACTGAAATGATTCTTCCAAAGTACAAAACACATCAAACCACTTGCTTGCTTAAAATCTCGTCTGGTTCTCCAGCACTTATGAGATAAAGTCCTTCCTTGCTTGGCATAATGTACAATTCCCTATATGATTATGACCTTAAGCGACTTACCTATTTAAGACTGGTAAGACTGTAAGACTGAGGAAACAATACCCTTTCGACCTCAAAGAGTTGTCTTCATATTAAATCAGTAAGTGCTATGAAAAACTAGAAGTTCTATTTCACAGTTCTTCAGCAAAATGTGTATGTAGAGAGAAATTTCACATGCAGATAGAAATTTGACTCATTATACATTATGATGACTCAGTTTTGACTTTACGCTATGCTATATATGGACTGACAATTTTAAACAGCAGAATCACGTTTTACATTTAAGAAATATAAATACACTTTGGCATATCATCAGAAAAAATCTGCTATTGCGGATATTGAGTTATTAACCCATATGATGATTTCAAGGTTTGAGATAACAATTCCTGGACATTCATTTACCTGAAAGATGGAGAAGACCAAACAATACATCACTTTAGTCTGTAGTAAATCCCCAGAAGATAATGGAAGCTGATGTTTCACAGACTATAGACATTCTTTACACTACATGGTCTAATACCAACTTTCCACGACACCTGTCTTACAGTGGACCCTCAGAAGGAAGCCACCCATTGCTGATTGGATTTTCCCTCAAACCAGTTAACAAGGTATTTAAGGGAGCCAACAAGGTCAAGACCAACGGTTTTTAGGTTCTTTACCCCTTGCATTTCAAGTAACAAGCACAGATGCTGTGGATGTGACTGGAGCATACACCTCTGGCTAAGAGCTGGGGACACAAAGCACCTCTGCACCTCTAAGACGGGCAGCCAGCATCTGGGCACTTTCAAGACTTCATGCATCCCCAATCTATCCTCCTGCAGCTAAGACAGACGGATGGAATCAAGAAGTGAAAGGGCATTTTAATACTAAAAGAGCCACCTCAAGTCCTTTTCCTGCTTCAGTGACTGCCACATTACGTCATCATGTTGATGGGGACCTCAATCCTTCTACACTGAATTCTCAGATGTTGCGCTTAAGAATTAAGACCTAGAGTTCTCTGGTTAGTTCTAAGTAACTACCTTCTACACAGCTGCCTTCACAGGGGCCACGAGGACTTCCAGACAGCAAGGCAGGCCTTGGTGAGGCTTGTGAGTGGAGTTACCCCCATAGTTCAATCTCCCGCACTCAGCGCAACCCGTTCCTGATGGCCATGTTTTAATTAATGTCATTTCTCACGGGGAGCATTGGATGTGAGTCTCAGCTCTCCTCCCTACTCTGTTATCAGAGCCAGAACTTCACTTCTCTGAGCCTTGTTTTTTTCTAATCTCTAAAAAGGGCCTCTACCACCTGCTTCAGAAGGCTACAGTCAGGATAAGCTGAGGTTAGCAAACATAGGTAGGGTCCACGAAGCACTGAGTACATGGTCCACCTACGACACTCTGTCTTGCGCACAGCTGGTGCTCAGCTGGGATCTGGAAACTCCACGGGGTCTCCGTTCCCCAGCAGATAAGGCTCAGCCAGAGGGGTCAGGATGCCTCTGGCCACACCCTTCCTCGGACAATGCTCGATACCTACCACACCTGCTTCTGTAATGGTGTTGCTGCCTCCGAGATCAGGTTAGCAGCAGGCACAGGAAAAGGGTAAGGTGCTGGATTAGTTAGTCTATGTTCAATGAGTCAGGATGTTGTCAACAAGCGACAGGTGGGAGCACAACAGGTCAGTCCTGGGGCTGGAGCTCCAGATTCTTCTCTGTGGTAGTTCCCAGGCCTCTATGGCTTTTTGCTAATTTCCACTGTCCTCCATCCATAAACCTCCCAGGTCTGACCTCTGCAGGGCTTTGACCCACCAATCTCCCCCCACCCCTCCTCTCTCGAGTAGCCGTGAATGAATGCATGAGCTGACATCTGATGCCTACCCAGCAGCCACAGGACTGGAAGCAGAAAGCAGGGCTGGCAGCCAGATGTCGGGCCGAGGCAGGCCGCGTTCTTACAGGCTGTCTCTCCACCATGACACGGCACCCTCCTCCTTCAGCAGTAAGAAATGCTGGGTCAAGCCAGGACAACCAACAAAGAAACAAATCTGAACTGACCCCATCATCACGCCTGCTCAAACAGAACGCAAAGCTTTTTTCCAAGAAGGATAAGCAGAGAAACGGCAGCCAGAGACGGGGCGAGAAAAAGAAAGAAGCCGTACACACTTCCAGAAGAAAATTTTCCCCCATGTGAAATGCACAGATAATTTAATGGAATTGACTTGGAATTGGATAATTCCAATGGAACTGACCCTCTCAGGGTCTGACTTCAGAAAATCAAATTACAAAGTCATCATCACATCCTAGATTTATTACAACTGACCTGCAGGCAAAAGGATAGAACTATTACATAAACACTTCGATTCCATGTATATATCTTAAATAGAGGAAGAATTCAAACAAGAATACAGGATAAAATATTCCAAGCTCCAAGAAGCAGTTATGTTACTGAGCTCCATTTTTACAGACAAATAAGGCAATATCCCTGCACATTAGCTTTTTGATAATTTTTATACATTTTTCTATGGTACAAGAGAAAAATAACCAGAGCTCACAATGTACAGTTCTTATACTATTTTCACAGTTTGTGAACACTATACACCCTTTTGTTTTAATAAAGATACATTGTAATAAACTCCTTGCCCTTAAGTTTATAGTTTATAATAATCTATGATTAATACACTAAAATTGCCTTTTTATGTGGTCATCCACACAACAGAACGGTCAGATTAGCTCCTGGACAGTCAGAATTGCTTCTATCTCCATTGGTATATGGCAAAGTGACCCTATGCTGAGCCACACAGGAGGCTGACAGCAGAGATGCAGATTCCTCTGGAGTCCCCGGGAACGGTGGAGGATGATGGCTTGGTGTGGTCAGAGGCAGACACTGCAGGGCCTCCTGTAGAGCACTGGGAAGCCTGGGCTTCAGGTGCCATGGGGGAGAAAACAGGAAAACCAGGCAAGTGGACCAAAGCGATAAACCACGGGTGAATTCTGAAATTTACAGGGATGTAACTGTAAACAGCACCATTCTCCCTTTATTGTTGAGAAGTGTTTGTGACCGTCACCTGGGAGGAGACACAGCAACACCTACCACTGTTTGGTTCCGTCGCAGCCCCATCTGCGTCTCAGACCATGGCAGCTTTCTACTCCAGTGTGCGTGAGCCACTCACAGTGCTGCCTGACCGACTGTCACACAAACGCTCGGGGCCAGGGAGGCCAGAGTGAAACCACGGAGACCCGGCCCATGGGTAAGGGAGGAAGGACAGCAGAAGATGGCAGGTTTAAATGGCCTCTTAGAACTATTCTGGGGTTCTTCGGGGGTTTTTTGGTTTTTGTGTTTTTGTAGACTCCCAATTCCAAGAAATGGTGGTGACCTGCTAGAGATTCTCGCAGGTGATGATCTCACCTAAGAGACTGCCGTTTCCCATCCTCCTCTGGTCAAGCGGTTTTCTCTAGAAAAGATGCTCCTTCATTACCTACCACATCAGCTAGGCCCCACGCTTCTCAGCCTTTTGAACAGTAGAGCATGTGAGAGACTGGGGGCTAAAAATCCTTGGTAAGGAACATCCTTGGTAATTATAAATGTTTCTGATACAGGAGAAAAAGGCGAAATATTGGATTAAGCAAAAGTCACATAGTGGCAATAGACCACACAGGTGGGTAAAGAGATGCAGAAGCTGAAGACCTGGGCCAGTGATGTCGAACAACTGAGATTTGGTCTTTTGCTGCCTAGAAGAAATCTTTATCTAATCAATCAAGGCACATTGCTACCAGCTACTTCTCCCTGTTAGTGAGTTATGATGGCTGAAGTATCAGGCTTGGGACCAAGGGGAAATATACAGCTGCTGCAAGTTGTTCCATAAGATTCTAGGATTAAAAACAGCTGTAAACTTTGCCCTCCGTACTTTTTTCTTCTTCCAGTCCAGGTGGTCTGTGGCAGGTGGAACATCCAGTTGGCAGCACACCGAATTCTGAGAATGAAATTCTTAGGATCAGCACCTTCTCTGACAAGTGGCAGACTCCTGAGTCTCCCCAGTGAAGAGCAGAGGGCTGGGGAAGGAGGAAAAAACACGTTCTGTCCTGTCTCAATCTTCTAATGTTCACCTCTCTGAACGCAACGTGGTTTTTGGTAAAGATAAATTCCCTCTGATTTAACATGATATCTCTAACAGGGAAGGAATTTGGCTAAGTACATCCATCCCCAGACATCGACAGTGGCTGTAAAGCAACAGAATGTCACATCAGTAAATCTATTGCACTTGGTGAAGACAGTAAATCCCTCCTCCGTCTCCCAGCTCCAGAAGGCAATGCGTCTCGTTGGCTGTGCCCGCTCTTCTCACTCCAGCCCAAGTCTGTGTTCAGACACAGCGCACCCATCACCGCATCCTTCCAGTATTTGGAAGTCTGACAGAACACTATTCCAGTAGCTGCGTCTCCAGGTTTCGAGTCTAGAAATGAATTTAAGATGTGATCTAATCACGGTCAACAAATTGATCATACTAACTTCCACATTTCATGAATACGTCCATCACGAAAGAGCAGGATGAGGTCTCTCTGACCGGCACTAACACTGCGTGATCGCTCAGGTATTACAGGGATGCACGTTCTAGGTGACGAGAGTATACAGACATGATGGAAACGAACACCAATCTTATTGCACATGGTGTCTGGGCGAGCAATAAAAACACTGTGGTACGGGATGAAGATTCTTTACGTCTTGCTTCCTCTCAGCCCTTTTGCCTAGAGTCTGACGTAGCAGCGATGTCAGTCGACATACATGGGAGAGCTGGGAGTAGCTGGCATTTGATCCAGGATTTTACAAACATAGCATGCGACCTCGACAGCGCGCTCTTCATACATCAAAATAAAGGGATGTTTCTGCAAGAATATTGAAAAACAGAAAAAGAGAAGAAAAATGATCAATATTCGTATCAGAGCTCACACGGAACTTTTCCCAGTTTTGACACAGCACAGAACTGCAGGCTCCAGCCAGGTCGAGCTGTAAATGACTGTAGCAAGGCAAGCACAGTCTGCACTCCACGCAGACGTGTTAATGGGGGTGAGCCGCTGAGATACGATGCACGGTGTCAGGCTCTGGAGGAGCCGCCCTGGCTGTGAGGTCTGCAAGCTTATCTGTGTACCAGGACGGCACATTCCTCAGCACAAAGCATAGCTGGAGCCTCCGCCGCCATCTGAGAGCCAAGAAGAACTGCATGAATCACGGTCGCCATTCCTCGTGGGTCACAGGCATAAACCCCAACCTCCCATATCTCCCCACATGTAGCAGAAGGACCTTACCAAAAGGCTTCAGTTTCGACCCTTCTGACCCCCACTCCAAAAGAGGCACAATGGAAACTTCTCCCCTGAGCTTGTGCGCTGTGCTCTCCAAAGCCTATGGCTCTGTACCTGCCTTGCAAACTCATTTTTTCGTCCTCCACCCCCAGCGATATTTTTCTTTCATAGCTTTGCTAAGTACACTAACCAAATACGTTTAGTCAGTGCTGGGGTTGACTGGAGTTCTACCTAACATCCTTGGAGAACCAGAAGCTAGTGTGACAAGTGGGTCTTTTCCTAAAATATTCCCACATTATTAGGTCACAGGACTTTCTTCACTGCCAAGACCAAGGCCAGATCCGGTAGACTGCTTAAAAAGTCCGAGTTCCATGGAAGGGTGAGAACTTTCAAAGAAATGAGAATTGGCCATACGATGCCAGTTTGTGTGAGAGCTTTTAATAAAGGCAGGATGAGCACAGTAAGTTCCTATGGCCGTGTTATACACACAGACCACGCAGTGGAAACGGCTCCTCAAAGTGAATGCTCAAGCTCCTTCGGGTAGTTTTTATAACATGTGAAGGCCAAAATTTTCCATGAGAATCTAGCTAGTAAATTAGTAGGAAAACTAGACCTACACATTTTCTCTTCCCAAATCTCTTTGCTTTAAAACATTCTTTAACAACGCTCATTAAGGTCAATCAGTCTAGGACAGAGAGGCCGGCTGCTGCTTAGTGGACAGCATGCTGGAGGGCTCAGGAGTGAGGAGACAGCTCCAACTCCCCAAGTCTCAGACTCACCAGAAGTTCTTTATACTTTGGCCTTTTGGATTCATCCTTGGTAAGGCTAAAATAACACAAAAATTAACATCGTTAAAATGGACACACAGTTACCCAAGTACTTTTATTTTCATGAACAAAGTATTACAATCAAATAAGCAGTTTTTTTTCCCCTTCAGATACAAAGTCACAAAGCAGACAACCTGCCAAACATAAAAAACACACAAAAAATGAGGCAATCTACAATCTAAGGATTTGCCCTTAAGATACTCAACGTAGGAGCATTAGTGAAAAATTAGAAACAAGTTAACTGGTGAAAATTGGATAAATCATGGCATAGCTACATGTTAGAATACTATGTAGTTAAACGTATGAATGCATGTGTAAGTATAAGATTGTAAGTGTATATGTCTGTGTGCCTGTGTGTTTCTAAATATATACGGCCACTACCCTAAGAGAAACTTGTAATCCAGTGAGTCTGGGAGATAAGCTACATATGAATTTTATAAACTTATCCTTAGAACTAAAACATTTTTGCACTCTGTATCTTAATTCTGTGTTCTTTGTTCCAAAAGTTCACAGTAGTACAACTTCATAAGGACTATATTGATATATTAAAAACCTCTGCCCTCCTGACATTTTCCCCTTGAATTCTACCCTGTCTAATTAATGTCGCCAGAAGTGCTTTCATTTTGTATTTTCCTGATCTATCTTGGACCGTACCTTAATCACCACTCTCCTCCAACCTCAATTACATTCACTTTTTTAGTATCAGACGTGAATCTGGGCAATACAGGTCTCCTATATCTAAACTCAGTGCTGTTCTTCACAGCTGCACCTTCTGTAGTGGACGCCTCACTGTGCTACACAGATGCCTTCTTTAGGAATGAAGGACTTACTCCTCCACTGCTGGGAGGGCTGCCAGCAGGCAGCCCTCGGTTGTGGCTTCTAAGGGATGGCATCAGTTGAAGACAGCCACCTTGGCCTTCTGGCGCCAGCCTGTATCTAATGACTGATCCACAAAGGGGCATAAAAGTCCAAGACCCTCCTCCCATACGAGTCAACCTTGGAGGGCCAGCCCAGCTTCACAGCTTCCTACAGGGCTGGTGGGGGCTTTGGCTAAGGCTGCATTGCAGCCCAACTCCCCTTTCTGCCTAGCCCTGCTTTCCCTCCCTTTGCTGTTTGTTGATCCAAAGATCACTACCTACCACTTAACCAACTTCCTGTACATTTTTTACTGTCCCCAAAGCCTGCTTTCCAGGGAACCAACCTGCAACACCCTTTTGCTGGGCTTACTTTTCTTCTTGGTCAAATATATCTTTTCAAAACAATCTAAGAATGGTAAACTCTTAGGCTTTCCCTTCCTGGAAAAAAAAAATCTATACTTCCTCATTTTGAATGATAATTGAGTGCCCATGTATAAAACTTTAGGATGAGGTTGACAATTATTTTTCCTCAGCACTCTGGAGCTATGACTCCACTGTTTTCTGGCAACTAGTGTTGCTGATGACGAGTCTGCTGTCAGTCTGATTCATTCATTCTTGCAGGCACTCTAAGTTCTCTTCCTGCCAACTCTTACTTTATCATTGTTCTGCAATTTTGCTTCAGTGAATTTTCGTATAAATTTACCTTTATTTATCCTACGTGATACAGAGACTTTAACTGAAATCTGAGCACCTATCCTAGATCAATTCTCAAATCTTTTCCACTATTATCTCCTTAAATATTGCTTCTCCACTTTCAGAGCTGTTTTTCATTTCCATTATATACATCTTAGAATTACTCATTCTCTTCTCACTGATTTTTAACTATTTTCTTTCATACATATTAGTCTACATCATGCTGGGGAAACCCTTCAAGTCCATCTTCCAGTTCCCCAACTCTGTCTTCAAGTGTTTTCAGTCCAGAGTACATCACATATGTTGTATCTTTGTATCAATAGCTATGTTTTTTCATTCCCAAGCCTTCTAATTAATTAGTTTTCATAGCTAACTGTTTCATTTCTGTTTACTTCTTCCTCAGTTTTAATGAAACTTACACCTTTACTTCCTTGGGCATCTTAAATATACTTATTTTAAGTGTATTTTAGACTATTCCATAATCTCATCTCCATTAAAAGCAGCTTTATGTTCTAGTCTGTTGCTTTTCTTTCTTTTTATTTTAAATTAATTTTTATTGGAGTATAGTTGCTTTATAATGTTGTGTTAGTTTTTACTGTACAGCAAAGTAAACCAGCTATATGTATATATTTATCCCCTCTTTTTTGGATTTCCTTCCCATTTAGGTCACCACAGAGCACTGGGTAGAGTTCCTTGAGCTATATAGTAGGTTTTCATTTGTTGCTTTTCTTAGCATTAGACTTCATGCTTCTTCATCATTTTTTCATTATTACCCTCCCTTCCCATGAAAGTTAAATACTGCATATCTGCTACAAACCATTATACTATGCAAGATTTTCTGGCTCTCCAGAACAAATTTTTGTCCCTTGGGGGTGACAGCACTCCACTAAGAACGCACGTTATAAACAAGTTTTCGACAAGAAGTAATGATTGGATAGACATGCATCATAAAAAAATACAGCTGTGACAAAAAGAAGGAAAATGGCTTGGAACAAGGTGATATTGGATTATGAGGAAACCAAATAGGAATCCGAATGATCCAGGTTAGATACTAGAAAATGCTCAGGGATAGAAGAAGGGAGAATGGACAAATGTGGAGAGCTGATACGAGCATATCACAAAAACAGATAATACTTCCAACTGCAGACCTTAATGATCTGGAATGAGATGGAACTACGTACCTACTCAGGGAAAACAACGTGAGATTCAAGTCTATAACCACTATTTATGGGAGAGAACTTGCACCACGGGACACAGAAATAAAAAGTAAATATAAATATAAATATAAATATATATATATAACAAAACCAACAGAGAGATCAGGAATTAAGAAGAAAGCAATCCTGGTGGAGTGTTCCCAGGTGATTATTTTAGACATTATGCTCTATGACTCACACAGATTCTTTTAACCAAATATTTCATTAAAGTGGAATATATAAAATGATCACATTTTGCAATTATATACTGTATATATGTGTGCAAATTGGTAAAAGTAGATGGTTTTTTAAAAGGAAAAAGCAGCCAATTTGCGTCATCCTTATGGCCCTCTTCTATCTAAAAATCTTGAGGTATTCTTCTCCCCTCTGAAAACCAACACAAAAGTAGAATTTGGTTAGAGAAGATGAAAGGGACTTGAAAACTGGAGCCAAACAAATGTTTTCTACATATTCAAAAAGAGGGCAATGCTAGACCGTGAAACATTAAGTCTTAGTCTTATAGGACCTAAAAGAGCAGAGAGAAACAGCATTCCTGGAAAGAAAAAATTAAGAAAAAGAAAAGCATTTTCAAGAATGAAAATATACAAAATGCTCTGGCTTTTTGCTCATAAATATATCTTACTTTTAAATCATGTTGGATAAACAGAATAATTATCAAAAATATTCAAATGATAACAAAACAGGTTTTATTTAAAATTTAGATAACAAGGCATGACTGTCCTGTTGCCATATCAGTGTATATTTATCCTTACATGCTACAAACACATACACACCTGTAAAAAGGGGAGTGAACAATATCAGGTGTGGGGTTCCTAGAATAAGGAAACTTATTGGAATAAGGTTCCTTGGAATAAGGTCTCTGTGAGGCAGTATATGGTTCTACCAACTGAGCTTTGGGCCTGACACTACTACATACACCCAGCTGGGTTACGTGTCAGGTCAGAGCAGAGAGCCACCCCTGAAAGTCTGGCAGGATCTTAACTTAGTAAAAGCTTCCAAGTGATTCTGGTACAATTTCATTGTTAGAACCACATCAGAATAAGATGATCAATCTCACCTAGGCTGTATTTCTTGTACAAGGTACTAGAAATCTGGAGGCAGCAGCTTCTCCACCACCCACATCTGTTTTTCATCAGTACCTGAGTAGCAGAATAAGAGAGTGATGCCTCTCCAGGCTAGCTGGAGCCTTCCATGTAGCCACAGTGATCCAGAGTCCCAGCTGAGAAGACAGAGCGATATGAAGCAGGCTCCCCTTCCCCAGTATAAAGTACCAGTGTTGCTAAGATTAAGTAATCACCTCACTGTCCTCTCACCGTATATCTCTGAGCATTCATAAATCAAATACTCACCACAAGTTGACAAAGTTGATGAAACTTGGGGAAAATTCCCTTTCCTCAGAATTACTCAACTGTGGTGGGTCTCCTTTCACAACTTGTGTTAGTTGATCAAACACACTATTCCACTTTGGATAAGGAAATCGGCCTGTGGCCAATTCGTACTAAAGAGAACACAGAGGAAAAAGCAAAATACACTGGGCATTACTTATTAATCCAGTACTTATTACTCCTCACTGGAAAGGCCACATTGTAAATCTAAACTCCAAGCAAAACTCTTGAAAAAGCCTTGACTCAAATCAAGATCAGGTTGAGGTGCAATCTTCAGAATTATGGCTAAGTGGAAGGGATATTTAGAAATCAAGATAGTATGTCCATATCTGCCACAGGTCAAACATATTTGTGAACTGTATTCTCATCTTTCTCCCACTCTGTTCTGAGGACAATGGAAACCTAGAAACTGTGCTTTTTCTAAGAACTAGGTTTAAGTCTGCAGCATGGCCTAAATGAACCCCATTTTACGTGCACTGACAGGCGACCCCAAACTTATCAGAGATGGCACATGACAGACAGAGCACTATCTGAGAAGATGGTTTTGGAGCTTCTTCCACTGAGATTTGACTTTGTCAGTTTAGTCAAATATTAAAGTACCAGTTTGCACAATGAAAGGAAGGCGAGCAAGCAATCATAAAGCCGTCCTCCGACAGGAAGCTGGTATGGGAGGGCCTTCTTCCCCAGAAGAGGCCTCCTGCAGCTCAGCACCGTCTCCACTTGCACCTGCGCCTGTGGGAAAGCAGGCAGGTGGGCACGCACACACACACACGCAAATCCACTCCTTTGGCTGAGGTTTCTTTTTGATAAAAATACAAACGCTTGGGAAGAAGTAAACCTCCTTGATTATTCACAGCAATGGGAATTGCTTCATTAGATTCATTCCTGAGAACAGGTTTTAATAAGAGAAGGAAACAGTAGGACACAACATCATAAGGTGAAAGACTTAGGATCTTAGGAGTTAATTTCACACATCTCATAATTTTAAAAATATTATATGAAAATAATGTCTCTATGAAAAATTAAAAAGCAATTATAAGTACTGAACGCCTTGCTTTTAAACAAAGTTTAGCCAGAGGTACTAAAGGAAATTGCTTAAAAAATTCCTATGTTAAAACCTTTCACAGAACAAAATTTTGTTTTTACAATAAAGTAAAAACTTGCTTTTTAAGCATAACTGGCTTGGACGTAGATAGGTATTTCTGAGTCGTGATTACCTCTTACATGCAAACAGTTGTCTCAGTTGTCAGCTATAAGTCTTGCTCCAGTCACCAGACCTAAGATTCCCAAGTTCTGTGTTCTCTCCTGACTAACGGGGAAGGAATCCCCTTTGGTTAGTGGCTTCATGCTGAGAAAAGACTCCACGAGGTGTCTCCCATGTCTGCTCACAAGGGAAACCAGATGGAGTCTTGTGCGGAGCTGAGCTGTCAGCCTTCATGTCTCTAGACGGAGAATTCATTAGGTGTGGCACAGTGACTCACCAAGGACACTCACAAGGGTGTGTGATCCTCAGGAAGAGGACCTTAGTGCCATATAATGCCAATAAACAAATGGAGATTACTTAACAAGCTACAGGAAAAGTTCACTGCTCTGAACCTGGTGTCTCGGGGCTCTGGGGTCTTACTAAGACGGGAGGAAAAGTTTTGGGTTGCCTACCAAACAGGACACAGCCCCACCTATACTGATGTAAAATTCACATCCAATGTGGAAGAAGCTGCTCTGAGATCAGAAAAATGCCATTCAGCCCTGGTAAAACAGCAAGCACAAGAAAATAAATCTAAAACTTCAAAACAGATTTTGGTAATAAGGAAATCAGCAAATGAATCTGTTTTTAAAATAGAACCAAAATTTCAATACAGTCCACAGGTGAGACAGTTTATTTCATCATGCTTGTTAGTTACAAACTAAGTAGTCTTCTTACTATTCTCGCTCAGTGTTGTTCTAAGGTAGAACTTTCATTGAGAATTGTCACCGCGGTGGTTCTTGTCCTTCAACAATGGAATTACTTTCAGCATGTGTGACTTTTCTATTCGGTGAATAGAAGATTCCAAGTAGTATATAACTACCTTCATATATATAAGTATGTGCACCTAATACACACACTGTCCACAGTATTACTGGACATACGACTCCTGCTTGAGATGGGGACGCAGCTGCACTGCTGCACCGACTGCAGGTGAGCTGGCCTCCCTGTTCCTGCTCTGAGCGCAGTTCTGACTCCTAGTATCCGTGGCCAAGAGATCCAGGGCCACTACATTAAAGAGCCCTAGGCACTTCACAAAACCACAAGGGAAATAATCAACTCTAGCTTGAGTTTTAAGATAAAAACTTGTTTTTCTACACTTGGGGGGCAGGGAGAAATAGGTATATAAAATCAAAGACTAGAAGAGACCGGATATGTTCTTATGAGTGGTGAAAGACTGGTTATGGTTAAATTTTCTTTTATCTCTAAATGTCTTATAACACGACAATGACAAGATTGAGTGAACATGAACATACCAATGTGATCCCCAAACTCCAGACATCAGAGCGGACGTCATATCCTTGTCGTGACGCACTTGGGTCTATTCTTTCAGGCTAAAACACAAAGAGAAATCACCGTCATTCATTACACACACCCTCCAGGAGCAAGTAATGGAAGCAGGAGCTGGGTAGGCAGCCAGAACACCAGCACACTCCTAGAGGAATCCATGTCTAGGGCCAGACTGGGAGTAATAGGAAGCCAATATTATACTGAAAACGAACAGCAAGGAAAGACCCAACTCAACGGCTTCCTCCATAAAGGGAATACAAGCCTAATTTTTCCCCCTAAGGACGCACAAGAGTTTACAAAACTGAAGCTGAGAACAGACAGAGGGAGAAAAGAGGAGGAAAAAGGAAAATCATAAAGAATTACAGGGCCAGATTAGTAGCAAGTAATGGTAAAAAGAAGAAAAAAAAAAGACTAAGTTTTAGAATCTTATCACTTTTTGCTTCAGTGAATAAGGACATACCACAGTATATTTGAGACACAAAAGCAAGTATGAGCTAACTTTATTATAATTGCTCCACTCTTTATCATAAAGCTAAATATCTATACCTTTAAAGATATAGATTTACAGAACTTCCCTGGTGGTGCAGTAATTAAGAATCCATCTGCCAATGCAAGGCAAATGGGTTCAAGCCCTGGTATGGGAAGATCCCACATGCCATGGAGCAACTAAGCCCATGCGCCACAACTAGTGAGCCTGTGCTCTAGAGCCTATGAGCCACAACTACTGAGCCCACGTGCCACAACTACTGAAGCCCATGCGTCTAGAGCCCGTGCTCCGCAACAAGAGAAGCCACCGCAGTGAGAAGCCCGTGCACTGCAACGAGGAGTAGCCCCCGCTCGCCACAACTAGAGAACGCCTGCGTGCAGCAACGAAGACCGAACGCAGCCAAAAATAAATAAATAAATATTTTTTAAAAGATATAGATTTACATCTATATCTTTAAAGATATTTGTCAATTAGTCTAATTGTTAACCAAATTAAGGCATTGCCAGTATCATAATATATTATCCTATCATAAAAACAGCAAAAATCATTTTTAGTAATTTCTATGAAGGGAGCATTTTTACATTTCCTTGAAATAAGGGACCATTATTTACATAGTGTGCCAGGGATGGAAAAGAAAAGAGAGAGAGGCTATCAGTAGCACAGAGCTGACAATGGATCCTTAGCTAAGACTGACAGTAACTGCTGTTGAAAGAAACGTCCAGAGAAGCATAATGGTCACTGTGTTATGTTCTCTGCCTGTCAGCAACAATTATTTTGGAGACCTATGCATTTTGTTTTGAATATGAGTACTGTGTTGCATAAATATTCATTGGAAGCTCTTCACTTTTACTTTTAGATATAAATATAGTTATTTACCTGATAAGATACACATTACATAAAAATCCCAGATAGTCAACCAAGAGAGAAAATACTCCGTCCAACAACAGCAGAATACACATTCTTCTCTAGCTCACATGGAACATTCACTAATATAAACCATGATCTGGGCCATAAAACACACTTTATGTTTAAAAAGTGAAATCATGCAAGGCATGTTCTTAGACCACAAAATAATTATATTAGAAATCAATAATAGAAAGATATCTAAAAAATCCCCAAATATTTGGAGATTAAACAACACATGGATCACAAATGTATGGATACCAAGGGGGAAAGGGGTGGGGTGGGGAGGAATTGGGAGAATGGGATCGACACATATACATTATCGATGCTATGTATAAAATAGACAACTGATGGGAACTATATAGCACAGGGAACTCTACCTAATGCACTGTGGTAACCTAAATGGGAGGGAAGTTCAAAAGGGAGGGGATATCTGTATGTGTATGGCTGATTCATTTGCTGTGCAGTGCAGGCTAACACAACATTGTAAAGCAACCATACTCCAAGAAAAAATTAAAAACAGAACACACTTCTAAATAACACATGGATCACAGAAGAAGTCTCAAGAAAAAGTTTAAAAATATTCTGAACTAAATATTAATAAAATGAAGTTACAAAATGAAGTAATCAATGCAATTATTTACTGAAATAATTTCAGTAAATTATTTCACAGTACTCATGTTCAATTTCAATGAAAGTGAAATCACCAAAATGAAATTACCCAAAGTTTGTGGGATGCAGTGAAAGTACTACTCAGAGGGAGACTTACTGCAGTAATTGCATATATTAGAAGAGAAGACAGATTGCAAATCAACAGCCTAACTTGACAGCTTTAAGGAAACAGAAAAAGAACAAACTAGACTCAAAGCAAGGAGAAGGAAGGGAGTAATAAAACGTAAAGCAGGGCTTCCCTGGTGGCGCAGTGGCTGAGAGTCTGCCTGCTGATGCAGGGGACGTGGGTTTGTGCCCCGGTCCAGGAGGATCCCACATGCTGCGGAGCGGCTGGGCCCGTGAGCCATGGATGCTGAGCCTGCGCGTCCGGAGCCTGTGCTCCGCAGCGGGAGAGGCCACAGCAGTGAGAGGCCCACACACCGCAAAAAAAAAAAAAATGTAAAGCAGAAGTAAGTGAAACAGCGAACAAAAATCAATACAAAATGTCAAAAGCAGAAGTTGATTCTTTGGAAAGATTAGCAAAATTGTAGCAAACTTCTAGCTACACTGATCAAGAGAAAGAGAGGGAAGACTCAAATTATTAAAGTCAGAATGAAAGAGGGGATATTACTATTGATCTTACAGAAACAGATGAAATAGACATTCTTTGAAAATGAAAACCTACAAAAATAATGTAGAAATCTGAATAACCGCAAAACTTTTTAAATTTTTAAATGAATCTGTTATTAAAGACCTTTCCACAAAGTCCAGACCCAGGTAAGTTTACTGGTGAACTCTTTCAAACATGCAAGGGAGAAATAACACCAGTCTTACTCAAATTATTCTCAAAACACAGAAAAGGAGGGTATTCCTCTCAATCCATTTTATGAAGCCAGCATAGCCATTTATGAAAACCTGACCAAAACATTACAAGACAATTAATATCCCTCATAAATACAGACACAAAAATTGTTAAAATATGAGCAAATCTAATCTAGCAACATACGAAGTGGTAATATATCATAATCAAGTGGGGTATATCACAGGAAGATAATATGGGCTTAATACTTGAAAATCAATGTAATGTACCATATTTATAGAATGATTTTAAAAGTCATACGATCATCTCAACAGATGTAGGATTAGAATCTGATAAAATTTAACAACTGTTAGCATACTGAGAAGGAAACTTCTTATTTCATAAAATGTATGTAAAATAGCCTACAGCTAACATCATATTTAGTGGTGGAATACAGAACACGTCCTTCCTAATTAATACTGGGAACAAGGCACTGCTTCTATTCAGCATTATATTGGAGTTCCCAGCCAGTACAAAAAGGTAAGGGGGGAAAAGCACGGCTTTTACTCACAAACATTTGGATTTCTACAACTGTTTAGTTAGAAAATCCCTACTAAAATTAATGGTGAAACCAGCAAGATCATAGGACACAATGTCAAAATGTGCAAACCAGCTCTATTTCTCTATAATAATAGCAAAATATTGGGAAAAAGTTAAAAATCCCATTTACAATATTAGCATCGAAAAACATGAATTCCTCAGGAATAAATTCAAAAGGTGCGCAAGAGATCCACGCTGAAAACTATAAAACATCACTGAGAGACAGCAAGAAGATCTAAATCAATGGAGAAACATAACAGGTACTAAAAGACTCAGCAACGTCAAGATACGCACAGTGGAATGGACAAATAAATTGTGGTCTACTGATACAATGCACAACTTCTCCGCAATAAAAAAACCGAATGACTAATACACATAACACGTACTAAAAAACTCAGCAATGACAAGATACAGCGGAATGGATAAATAAATCGTGGTCTATTGATACAATAACAACTTCTCTGCAATAAAAAGACTGAACGACAAATACACACGGACAGCATCGATACATCTTCAAAAGAAAGCACACACAAACACACACAGACTGTAGGATGGCATTTCTAAAGAACTTGAGGAAAAGCAAACCTAACCGACAGTGACAGAAAATAAGACCAATGATCCTATAAAATATGAGACATATTTTATATCTTGACTGATGTGGTGATTATATGACTAACTACATTTGTCAAAATTCAAATTGTATGCTTAAAATGGGCACCTATTATTTGTGGTTACAGCGCTAATGTCATTCTAAAACTGCTGTATGTTTATGTCACAAACAGCTATAATGCCTATCATGTGTGTGTTAGAAAAACTTATCCAACACCGGGAAATAAATCCAAAAAAGGATTCCGTTTCCTTTCAGTGTCACAGTGGAGCACCAGCAAGCCTGCCCAAGGACTGTGTAAGTGTACTTGTTTCATTAGGGCCCAGACACTTAAGTTACACAATAACCTGCAGATTTTTGTCAGGTAGGGATGCAAATGATTTCTGTCCAACAACCCCAAAAGTTATTATTTTATTGACCTGGAGATAATTAGCAAATTTATATTTTGATTAGCCATCTTGTTGCAATATTCCTTCTTTAGTGACTGTAAATACAGAATGATGCAAATGTTCTTTGAGCCAGTTTCACTAACCTGTCTGTCCAGTTTTCTCATTAATGAGTTAAATATATTTTTGACACATGTTCGTTCTCTATTTGTACATGTAATATTTTTAATATTTTGAAAAGTATTCTTTGAGAGGAGTGGAGATTTAAGATCCATGAAACTAATTAAAGATGCTGTATCCTAAATCTAAGTCAGAAGTACGGATTTGAAAAACAAAAAGCTTTTTAAAATTAACAAGAGGAAAATATCAACTTAGAGAATAGGGTCTATAATATTAACAAAAACAGCAAAAAAGTAGTAGATAAAACAATTTTATATCCAAAACATATAATTTATAATAAATACACAACTCAAGTTACTTTGTATTAAAGTATACAAAATAAAAACCAAGGAATAAGGAGAAATTGACAATCTCAATATTTTCAAATTTTGAACTCCTCTATTTTTTTTATATTAAAATGGCAAAAAAGTGCTGAACAGGGACCTCCCTGGTGGTGCAGTGGTTGAGAATCCACCTGCCTATGCGGGGGACATGGGTTCGAGCCCTGGTCCAGGAAGATCCTACACGCCGCAGAGCAGCTAAGCCGGTGCATCACAACTACTGAGCCCACGCTCTACAGCCCACAAGCCACAACTACCGAGCCCATGTGCTGCAACTACTGAAGCCCACATGCCTGGAACCCGTGCTCTGCAACAAGAGAAGCCACAGCGATGAGAGGCCCACGTACCACAACGAAGAGTAGCCCCCGCTGCTCACTGCAGCTAGAGAAAGCCCGCACGCAGCAACTAAGACCCAACACAGCCCCCCACCAAAAAAAATTAAAAATAAATAAACAGTTAAAAAATAGTGCTGAATATAATTATAATACAGAACAGACCCTTTCCAATATTTCATTTTTTAATTGACCATTTATCATGCTAAAAGAAGAATTTTAATATGTCCCAAAAGGCAGAAACGTACGGACTAAAATGCTTTGAAAGCAAGTAATAAGTAAAAAGATTAACATGAATCACTTTGTACTGGTTAGCTATTTGTGTAACAAAGCACCACAAAACTTAACAGCTGACACCAACAGACATTTATTATTTCAGGTTTCTGTGAGTCAGGCTTCAGGGAGCATTTTTGTTGGTGGTTATGCCTCAGGGTCTCTCATGAGACTTCAACTGAGATGTCAGCCAGGGCTGTCGGCCTCACTGGGGCAGGAGGTCTCGTCACCAAGCTCACTCACACAGTACCGCAGGAAGCCTCTGTTCCTCACCACATGAGTCTCTCTGTAAAGCTGCCTGAGTGTCTTCACAACATGGCAGCTGGCCTCCCCCAGAGTGAGCAATCCAAGAAAGAAACCAAGAACGAAGCCACATGCCTCTTTATGACCAACTCTCAGAGGGATGCATTGTCATTCTGCCACATGCTACTCATGAGAAGTGAGTGCCTAAGTTCAGTCCACACTCAAGGCTGTACTTAGCCACCGCCTTTTGAAGGGAGGTGTATTAAAGAGATTGGACAGATTTTAAAACTACCACATAATTGGTACTTAAAACACTGCAGTAAACAGGTCTTACACCCAACATTTAAAACAACTAAGAAAAGGAAAGTATGTATATGTATACACACGCACACCCACCCACGCATATGTGTGATGCTAAGGAAACAGTAAAATTTCACAGTTTTCAAAGAATTATGGGGACTTCCCTGACGGGCCAGTGGTTAAGACTTCACCTTCCAATGCAGTGGGGGTGCGGGTTCGATCCCTGGTCGGGGAGCTAAGATCCCACATGCCTCACAGCCAAACACCCAGAACATAAAACAGAAGCAATATTGTAACAAATTCAATAAAGACTTTAAAAATGGTCCACATAAAAAAAAATCTTAGAACAAAAAAGAATTATGTATCTTTCCCCAAAGACTCCTGGCCAAGATGGATTTCAACCTCAAAGAACAGAAAACTATACCATCACAACTGTTCTGAGCTCTGGGGAAAATTTTCTGAGCTCAAGGAGGCCAAAGTTATGTTTTTGATTACTAGGTGATCAATACTTTTTTACTGTATGAATAAAATAAGATGAAAATTTTCCCAATTCGATTTTTAAAACTTGCATAGCCCATCTAAAACCTTTACAATGTATACTACAAACCAATCTCAAACATTTTTATGTAGCAATCATAAATATTAATATAGCACATGTAAAAATATATTAAACACATAAACTATGAACCATGTAGGGATTATTTCTGGAATGCCAGAACGGTTCAACCACAGGAAATATATGTTACTATGATGTGTCATATCAACAGCTGCACAGAAACATTTTATCATACACTGAACAAGGCCAAAAAGGCATTTAATAAAATTTAATAGCCATTTCTGATTCATTCTTATTCTCTCTCTCACACACACATTCTCACACACAGATATATACACATACACTTAGTAAACCAGAAAAAGACATTTGCTTTCAAGTCAAGCAACATAAGAATCCTACCATCAATACTGTCATTCAACATTGATACAGTTCTAGGCAAAGCAACAAAAATAAACATGAGAAAAGTAACAAAATATATATGATTATAGGTAGGTAGATAGATATGAGAAAGATCAATAAATATGAGGAATGCTAAGGCAAAAATTACCTGCAGAATGGTACCTTGAGTGCCATCTGAAACCTATTCAAAAAAGAGGTAGGGACTTCCCTGGTGGCGCAGTGGTTAAGAATCTGCCTGCCGGCGCAGTGGACACGGGTTCAAGCCCTGGTTCTGGGAAGATCCCACATGCCGAGGAGCAACTAAGCCCGTGCGCCACAACTACTGAAGTCCGCGCACCTAGAGTGCATGCTCCTCAACAAGAGAAGCCACTGTAATGGTAAGCCCGCGCACCGCAACGAAGAGCAGCCCCCGCTTGCCGCAACTAGAGAAAGCCCATGAGCAGCAACGAAGACCCAACGCAGTCAAAAATAAATTAATTTTTTAAAAAAAGAGGTAGATCAGTATTTTGGCTGGTTACAAAATAAACATATCAGTATAAGTAGCTTTCCTATGCATCAGCAGGAATTATAACACTCCAGGTTGAGAAATAACTAATGCCTCTACCTTGCACGTGTCAGTGAGTTTCTCTTACCTCTGAACATGCTATGAGACATACTGAGTTCTATGAGGAATTCGGCTTCCTATTCTTCTCTAACCAGAAACAGCACCACTTACATTATCAATATGTCTACTACAATTGTAAACATACAATCAATTGTAACAGTGATTGTAAACATACAATCAATATGTCTACTACTTGACTGTAGTACCTCCTAGAGTCAAGACAGCATATGGGGGTCTAGACGTACAAAAGAGGCCTTCTGAGAACTAACTAGAATATAATGAAAAAACAGTAATCAGAAAAGACCATAAATGCTCAGTGCCAGGCAAGAGGAATACGGTAAGACAATGAAACAGGAGTTCACTGGGATGATTTCGCCAAGTTTCATAGAAGAGCTAGAACTGAGTTTGGTCTTCGTGGAAGAGGAGAATATTCTAGTATGGTGAAACTGCACGACCAAAGCAGATTCCTTAGTAGTATAGCACCAAAGGGCACAGGCTCTCTGTGCAATGAATGTCAAGCAAGAAGGTTTGGCCTTTGCACTTACTGCCATGTATGGCCTGCATCCAGCATCTCTTGTCTTGGCAATGGAGTCCACAAGCTGTCCACTGATGCCAAAGTCGCAGAGTTTAATATTTCCACTTCTATCCAGAAGAATATTGGAAGGTTTGATATCTGCAAGACACAGATGTCACTCAACGTTCAAGTAATCAAACGAGCTATATTCTAAAGTATTTCAAGGAAAAATACTGAAAAACCTTAGAAAACATAAGTGATCAAGTCCTTAAAATTCAGATAGCTAAGATGAAAAAAATTTTCTGAATGCTAAAAACTCATTATCAAAAAACTCCTCATATTAAATTTAGGCATTCTATAAAGTTTTGTTTTCATCAAGAGACATACTCATTTACTTGTTTCAAATTCATTACTTAACAGTCAAAACATGCAGGATGAATTTAATCTGTAAGAGTATACTAAGCTACTTTACAATACGTGTCAAAGATTATACAACTAAATGCAAAGTATACAAATTATAAACTCACAATTTAGTTAAAGGAGAGCTTTATCTAACTTAGGAAAGTATCCAATCCAGTACATCTAAAAGACCACAAGCTTCGGGATCAAAAAAGCAAAGGTTCAAGACCTGGGCCTGATATTCACAATGTGACCTGGGGCAAGTTCCTGAACTTTCACTTAGCAACCACAATTCCCTCATCTACAAAATATAAGTAATAATTCCTAACTTATAGGATTGTGGAAATGAAAACACCTATTACAGAAACTGAACATTGTTAGTACTCAGTAAATGTATCCACTTAATAATTATTTCTCCTTGAGAGATTTTTCTGATCTTAGATGGCTTCATTGAGTTTCTCCCAACCAACCTTCTTTAAGAGTCATCCTGGAGAAACTAGATTCATTTTTACCATTCTCAGAGTGTGTGTGCTTTCCCGCACACCTGAGAAAGCTGAATCCTTTCCATTTGGTTCTCCAGGTTTTACACAGTCTTGTCACATTGGCCCCTAGGTTATCACCTCCTCCTCACTCACCATCAACTCACTCACTGCCAGTGTGTGCAAATCAGCTAGCTGGACAATTCTCCCTGCCCTTGCTCACTAATTCTCTGTCCCTATCTCAATCCTTCGAGGCATTTAATTGTCCCTGTCATGGTTCCATGAATAAAAAGGACAGAAATAAATATAGGATACAAAAATATCTGTCTGTAACTCAGAAGGGGACCTACAAAAAAATCCAGAAAAGAATGCTTACCATCACTGACACGGCTGACTGCCTATCAAACATCCACTCCTAAGCATGCCATCATCCTTTCTAATGGAACTTTCATTTTACTGAGATCCATCCTCCTCTGTGTACATCTATCCGCACCTCCAAACACGGGGTCCTGATTGGTCTAAGCTTATCAAGGTAGCCTCATGCTCCTTGCCAGGGACTAGTTTAGGTAAGGGCATGAAGGAGACAAGAGAAAATGTGAGAGACAAGTAAGTAAGAGCTCCCTGCTGCTAAGACAGCCACACAAGAAGAGACAGCTTCTTCTTCAAGAGGCTGTTATGCTAGGTGTGACACAGGACCTGCTTTAGTTGTTACTACCCTGAGGATGGAGCCAACATGTTAAGGAGAGCAGAGCCAGAAGAAGGGAGCCTGAGCCCTAATCATATCGTGTTGGAGCCACCCTATCTTTGGACTTACTACGACAGATAATGAGTTTCCTTGAAGTTTAAGCCAGTTAACAGGATTTTCTCTTACTTGTAATCAAAAGCACTCTAATTACAGCAAAAAAAAAAAAAAGCTACCTGATCCTAGCTGGTAAAAAAGACTGCTATAAATTCATCATTTTACTTAGTCACAGGAAAACCAAAGTTATTTTTGAAGCCTTTCCCTTTTATTTAACCTTGGGCAGTGTCTTAGTGCTTTACTGTGATTGGTGAGAATCCCTAAGGTAATTGTCAGATGCCCTAAGGTAATACTCCCATAATTACCAAATATAGACAAAAAAAGGGAGGGAAAAAATCCAAAACAAGAACAAGATGAAGTACAAGAGGAACAAAATAATTTTGTTTAGGAACCTAATCCTACATGATTTTAGGACAAAAGAGAAAATAAGAAGGCTAGCCAAAATTATCTTTAACAAGCATTAAGCCAGGCAAAATTAAATGAAACATTCTGATGTTCGAGGTTAACTAATTGCAGTCGTTCAGGGTCAACCTCAAATAAAAATTACTTAAATCAATGCCCTAATTACTAATCTCTTTAATCACAACCTTAGAGCCCTTTAACCTTAGAATTCAAGGTTTTTCGCATCTCTGAATACGACTGTTTCCTTCCTTCCTGTGTTGTCAGGCTGAATCACACACTGCCATGTATCACCTTGGGTTTGTCCACTACAGATTTACTGAGGGTACAGAACTGTGCCTCTTCAAAGCCACTGCCTCACTACCCCGAGTCTGGCATAGTAATAAGACAGAGCAACTACTTAAACTATTTGCTGAATTAAATTCAGGAATCCCACTGTCTCCCAAAAGACAGACACCAAATGTTTGAATTTGGACCTGTGTCTAAATAAGGCCAAGATCACTGTTTTCACAAATACAAATGCTTTAGAGGAATTTCAATGTAAAATACTAATTAAAGAATCTTTCTCAATTTACAAAAATATCCTCCCAAGTAAAGAAGAAACACTTGATAGGGACAGTAGCGTGCCTTTAAAATGATCGAGGGTGCTATCCTGCAGATCCTTCTTTGACGGTCCACAGGTTCACCTTCCTGCCTTATTTGTATAGACAGAGAAACATTAATTATCTATCAGGCAAATGAATAATTATTTTTCAACTAAGCCCCAACATTCTAATAAGTTAGACTGAAATTTATAGAATCCCAAAGGGAAAAAAATCCTAAATTAATAATAAAGTTTTAGGGTACATATAGTATGTTTTGCTAAAAATACAAGTATTTTAGTAAAAGTTATACAATACACTGTAACTTTTAATTTTTTTTCCTATTAAGGAAAAATGTTAATTTCTAGTCTAAAAAAAAACAGTTCATACCCACCTCTGTGAATGATTTTCAAGTTTTCTTTTAAGTGGTTTAGTGCTTTCACAGTCTAGGGAGGAAAAAGCAGAGACGGACGGGATAAACAATCAATTTCCTTCTAATCAAATAGCACAATAGCTTACCGTAAAATAACAGCTCAGGTAGCTCTTTGCATTCTTTTGGGCTTAATATTTCAATATTCTGTCCATTTTTTATGTTAGCTGAAGATGCTAAATTATGATTTTAGATATGAAATCATAGTTGTCTTTACACGCCCTTCCCTGACAGCTAAAAAAACAAACAGGTAACTTACAATTTTTTAAATAAGTCATTAAAAAGTTGTATAATCTTTCTCATACCATCGAACTTTTTAGGAACAGATATATTTAGTACAAAAAGGTCCAACAGTCTGGTTCCATTATCAACCCTAAGTTAATAAGTTTTTCCAAGTTCTCAGTTTCTCACAATCATTCACCCTCACTGGGTGTGGAGCCTGCAAAGTAATTTTTGCAGAGCCAGAATTTATCCTGTTGTTTGATCACTGCTCATGATCAGGAAATCAAAGATTTCTCCAGGAATAGAGGAAACAGAGACTTGAATTAACATTTCTACAACCTCAAACTAAAAGAGAAGTGAAGCACAGGCCTCCAATTAGAAAGGTCAAGTCTCCGCTGCCATCAAGCTGCTGGGTGCAGAACACAAACTCACAATGCTTCAAACAGCCAGGCTTGTTCATGGGGTTATTAATTAGCAAGAAGAGATTTAACACAAAGTAATTTTAAATGTTACGCTTAACAAAAAGGATGATCACCAAGTCTAGAAACACAGGCAAATATATAATAAATGATTTATTAGTATATATTACATATATTGCAATTTAGGATAAAATAATTTTATCTATGTTTTCCAACTTCATGATCATCCTGTCATGCAGTGGTTAACAGCTGGATTCTATGATCAGACTGCCTGGGCTTAAATCATTTACACTGACAAATATATGAATTTCAAAGCAAATTAATTACTTAATCTCTCCATGCTTTAGATTTGTCATCTGTAAATAAAAAGGGGGTTACACTATTTACCATTGAGAGTTGCTATGAACATAAAATGTCATGAGATCTTGGCCTGACACAAATAAACACTCAGTAACCATGGGCTATTATCATTATTCTACTATTGTTCCATTATAATTATTATGAATAGTAAAAAGTTCCAAGATAAAGCTAGGTTTGGTATACTGAAGAGAGATGACTAAAGTGATCAACATAAAATTTCATACACCTGTCTGAATAATGAAGAAGTTTCTAGTAAAACTTGTTTATACTAGACAGTTTCTTTATAAAATTATATGAAAGGGTATATATCTGAACAGCTCATAAAACATTTAAATTAAGCATTAATTCAGGTAAATAATTTAAAATATTAACATGAGACCTATTAATCTTAAGATTATGACTAGAGTTTAACCTGACTTTTTAAATCCCAGTTATACACACATATCTTTTACCACTAAAATACAGTTCAGAAACTGTCTTACTTATTTTAACATTGACCCTTAATGATTAAACAGGATAAACTGACAATTACCAGGCAGACTATACTGGATGTGGAGGATGCAGGAAGAAAGAGGAAATTCATGCAACCAGAATATCTATCTTACAACTTCCTATAAAATTTAGTTTACACATCCACTAACCCAGGTCATGTCATTAGTTCAGATTCTCAGGGGTTTCTAAGAAACTTACTAACTTTATCAAAAAAATTTGTTTTTCTTTCTGTGAAAAAACTGTGAATGACCTTTGTTAGCTAAAAGAACAAGAAAGAAAATGATCATTAATTCATTTTCAAAACTATAAACACGTAAGCAAAACAGTGCCTCTTTTCTTTTTTGGTACTATGCTAAAAGTGATTTGAACAAATTAGTAGTAATGCTGGTTACTGAAATTGCTAGTCAACAATTTAAGTAGTTTAGACAGAATAGCCCAAATCTTAAACCACAGGAAATATACTTAGTCTAAAGAGTTTCAGTTAAGGGATTTCAAGGAGACTGCTGCAATTCTAATTTAAGCGGAACTTTGATAATATAGCCTATTTAAATACAGTTAAAGTAACAAGGGAAAGAGGAACAGAAAATTGCTTTTTCTAGCCTTATTTACAGCACAGTCTATTATGGTTCACTCTGATTTTAATGGAAAGAATACTGTAGTATTTATTATTGAAATGTATGATTTCAATACGTACTTTTCAATAATGGAAAGTGTCAATGTAGTATTTTGAAAATTGTTCTTACTACTTGTTGTATTAATTACCCCACAGAAGTGATTTTTGTCTCTTTTCCTATTATAATGATTTTCTAGGAAGGTCAGTAACATTCTGTGAAGGGCATTCAGATGTATGCATTCAAAACTCCAGTAGCATCTTTATGTAAGTATGTATACAAGGAACAATTTGAAAACCAAGTACTTACTGCTAAAGTGATTTTGCCTAAAATTTCTTCTGGAATAACATCATCTAATACACTATATACATATTTGTAAAACTTATCAAACGAGGTAGACATGAGTTCCATACAGATCCAACAGTCACCCTATAAAAAAACAAATATCGGTTATTCTTATACATCTTAACATTAAGTACCACCTTTCCTTTACTTAAAATAGAAATACAATGAGAGAAGAAGCAATCTTTTTTTTTTTTTAATTTTTGTTCCTTATTAAAGTGCTGGACAGAATATTCTCCTCATGTTCAAACACAAACTTAGTTGCCCAATTTTCCCTACTCTTAATTGTAAGAATGGGCATAGTCCTACATAGAAAACCTTTGGACTTTTATAAAAATTTTCAAACTCTGCCATGATTAAATAGAAAAACAGAAAATATGTGGGAAACTGTTCATTCTCACTAACAAAGGAAATAGACTACAGGAATCTTGAGAAACTATATAAACTTCTTAAATTAGTAAAAAAGAAAAAAAATACATAAAGCAAGCCCAATGCCTAAAGTCCTTGCTTAAATGCCACCTTCTCAGTGGCCGACACTGAAAATGCCCAATTCAAAATGCAAGTCATCCCCCTCTCAGCATCCCCTTAACAGCTCTACTCTGTAGAGCCTTTATCATCTTCTAATATAAAATATAATTTACTTATTTATTATGGTTTTCATTGATCTTCCCTATTATAACATATAGTCCACCACGACAGGGGCTCAATAAACATTCCTTAAATGAACAAATGCTGGCTATAATCAAATCAAATCATTCAAAAACTATTGGCAGCACTGTAGAGTGTTTTAAACCAGTTTGAAGGCAATCTGACAACAAAACAAGAGAAATAAAAGTGCCTATACCCTTTGATAGTCATCCCATGACTGGGAACCTAACTTAAACAAATAGCTCATAAATTACAAAAAGAAAAAACAAAAACAAACTAAAAACCTCAACTATCTCACAAGATGAAATGGTACATTATTAAAAGGATTACCTAAAATTACATTATTTTGAAAACTATACAGTTCATGAGGTATGCATGAGAAAACACAGGCTATAAGCAGATTCCATGTTTATAATACTGTAAAAGTATGTGCACATATAAACAAGGAATACGAAGTACCTTGGGAGAGTGAAAAGAGCTATAGGGATCATGACAAGAATTATCTTTAAAAAATTTTGCATATGGTTTCTAATTTATGGATCCAGCTATATCCTTAGAGATTTTCTACCACTAACCTCCTTCCCCTAACAACTGACTTGGATTGATCATACGAGAGATCTATGCCCGGTGAAGTAAAATGGCTTGCTCAGAACAGCACTGCTAATTAGCGATAGAGCCATCAACAGAATCCACTTACATAACTCCTTTCTCCTATCAACACCTCCAATGCAAGGACATTTAACTTATATGTAGAGACAGCACATGCCGTGATGACTGCTGAGATGAATAATCCCACTCTTAAAGTAGAACCAGCTGCTGCAACGTCCATGTAGCTCCATGGCTTCACAGAATGCTGATTTGTAAAGCATATCTGACAAAGTGAACTTTCACTTATAGTTATTCCAATCTTTCTTCTTAGGTCTCTTTTTCTGGGTGCTCTTGCAGAATAACCTTCATAAACGACTAACACTATTAACCCAAAACACACACTTGAATTTATTTCAATCTAAAGATACCATCTCAATAGATTTACCAGAAGTTTTTAATTAGAGAAAAGGATAACACATTTAACTCACCTACTTAGGAGAACAGCGAGGAAGGAACTTAACTTCAGTAATATAGCAAAGTGGGACAATCACTGATTAAAGTGTGAAGGCCTGACTTACTCATCCAGGCTCTCCCACTCTCCACTTATATAAGCTTGGGCCTCATTAACTCCTAACGATGAAATGGGATTGCCCCACAATCTTCAATGGAATATGATAAAGATCAAACGAGTTAACATATGTAAAGCACAAAGTAAAGCGCCTGGCAGCTGCTAAAAACTAGAGTTAAGAAAATGAGGGGAGAAGGGGAAAGGGTGGAAAAATAGGAAAGCAACCAAAAGAGAAGGAAAGACAAGGGAACAAGGGAAATAAAGGTGAGAAGTAAACTGAGGTAAGAAGGGCAGATACAAAGGAGCAATTAGCTCCAGGGCGGGAAATCTTTGTAGTTTCTAAGGCACATAACCTAATGTAAATGTATTTCTTCTAGCAGTTCCTTTTGGCCATAACTGAGAATAGACAACAGCAATAAGCTGCGTTAAAAAAAAAAAAAAAAAAAGGAATGGTTTGAGCTGCCTCAAAAGCAGTGACAGCAACATTACTTTCACATTCAAGCAAAAGACAGACAACCACACAATTGAAATACAAAAATAAAAATTACTGAATATGGATTTACTGAAAAGGAAGGTGGAGGATAATGAAACTGAACTACTAAGATCAAGATAAGGGTTTCAGAGACAACATCCAGATAAAACCAATAACATAACTTTTATACCAACAGGAACAACTTAGAAAATAAAACGTTTAAAAAGACACCACTGGGCTTCCCTGGTGGCGCAGTGGTCGAGAGTCCGCCTGCCGATGCAGGGGACACGGGTTCGTGCCCCGGTCCGGGAAGATCCCACATGCCGTGGAGCGGCTGGGCCCGTGAGCCGTGGCCGCTGAGCCTGCGCGTCCGGAGCCTGTGCTCCGCAACGGGAGAGGCCACAGCAGTGAGAGGAGGCCTGCGAACCCAAAAAAAAAAAAAAAAAAAAAAAAAGACACCACTCACAGTAGAAAGAAAAAAGCACCTAGGAATAATACATCTAACAAATTAGCCTAGCCAGACTAATCAGGAAAAAATAGAGAAGATACAAATTACATCAGGAATGAGAGAGAGAGGGAGGTAACATCACTGTAGATTCTACAGATATTATGATGATAATATTGGGCTATTATGAATAACTTTATACCAATTAATTTGACAGTTTAGATAAAAGGCACAAATTTCTGAAAATAAAATCAAACTACCAAGTATCACTCAGGGAGAAACAGATAACCTGAAGAGAACTCTTTGAAAGAAAACTGAACTGCAAAATAATTATGCTGAGTAAAAGACGACAAAAAAAAAAAGGAGGGGATACATGCTGTATGATTCCATTTACATAAAATTCTAGCAAATGCAAACTCATCTACAGTGGCAGAAAGCAGCTCTGCAGTTGCCTGAGGATGGCGACAGCAGAGAGGAAGTGTGTATAACCTACGGGACACAAGGAAACTCGTGAGAGGTGGGTATGTTCATGACCTTGATTATGGTGACAAGCCCACACGTGTGTACATTTGTTCCAACATATCAAATTGTATATTGTAAATATGTGCAGTTGATTTCCAATTTTACCTCCATAAAGCTGTACTTAAAACCTGCCGGGGTGGGGAATGAAGGGGAAAGGACAACATGAGCAGAAGTAGGGGTAGAAAGGGAGGAGGTGACTAAATTTGGCTAATATCACTGCCTTTTTTGTGTGTTTTTTTTTTTTGCGGTACGCGGGCCTCTCACTGTTGTGGCCTCTTCCGTTGCGGAGCACAGGCTCCGGACGCGCAGTCTCAGCGGCCATGGCTCACGGGCCCAGCCGCTCTGCAGCATGTGGGATCTTCCCGGACCAGGGCACGAACCCATGTCCCCTGCATTGGCAGGCGGACCCTCAACCACTGCGCCATCAGGGAAGCCCTATCACTGCCTTTTACATAACCTGATGAACTCCTATAGTCACAGATTACTCAGAACAGTATTTCCTACACTGGAGTTTCCCCAACCTCAAAAGATATCTTAAATAAGGGATTCCTTGCTATTAAATTCTGAAAATGTATATATTAAAAGACATTTTAAAAGTGCTTCTAAGTCTCAGTATTGATAACATAAATAGTAGGTCTGGCCTTTATGTAAGCTACAGGCTAAAAGTCACTTTCATTATTCAATACTGTCAAGCTCTTTTTTCCCCGTCTACCAATTCTGAAAATGAATTTAGAAACCTGTGCAATTAGATGTCTTAATAAATTATCTAAATAAAATCCAAGTTGTATTTTCGACTTCTTATCCTCATTTAGTTTCATCCTAGAAAGAAGTATACACATGGTTGGAGACAACAGCAATAAATGAGTTACCAACTTCAGTATTAAATGTTATTTATTCACTGCTCCAAATAAAGTTATGGAACTTTCAGAGGCTCAATATTACCCAATGGCAAGATTAACCTCTACACTGTTGCTGCCAAGAAGAAGAAAAATAACATCTCATGGCTCCGTGATTGTTGGTTGACTGAATCAGACCAAGAGCTGATGTCCTGTGGTCATATAAATTATGTGAAATTAAATACTCTGGAGGCTTTTCACAGGGATGGGAGTTACAAGCATTCGTCTCTCTCACAAGTCCTGAATGCGCTCATTCATGTCCAGTCTTTTCCTTTCATAAACCCAGAATTCTGTGTCTATTATCAAAACTGAAGGTGGGGCTTCCCTGGTGGCGCAGTGGTTGAAAGTCCGCCTGCCGATGCGGGGGATGCAGGTTTGTGCCCCGGTCCGGGAGGATCTCGCATGCCGCGGAGCGGCTAGGCCCGTGAGCCATGGCCGCTGAGCCTGCGCGTCCGGAGCCTGTGCTCCGCAACGGGAGAGGACACAACAGTGAGAGGCCCACGTACCGCAAAAACAAAACAAAACAGAAAAAAACAAAAAAAAACCCTGAAGGTCATGTCAACAAAAAAGGATCCTTTTCTTTTAAGTGATCTAGCTCAAAAATCTTTCTCCAAACCATTATTAAATAAATGTTTATTATTTTTAACCATTGTAACTTCAGGAAAGTTACAACTTTGACTATGCACTCTTCAAGGTGAACTTTCTGCTTCTAAAACTGCATTATTCAGAAAGTACCTATTACTTCCTGCATTCTAAGATCTAAGGGGGACAGGGGGTGGCTTCATGTTCAGCCTAACTAGGCATTTTGTGACTTAACACAACTTACTTGTATAGCTCCTGACCCTTCATCTTATCATACTCAAAAACTGCAATGTTTAAAAAGTAGATTATTTCTTAAATGAAGCTCAAGTTCTTTATCCCTGGACCACTTGTGGTATAACAGAAAGAACAGTGAGATTTTTGTCTCTGAAGTCCTGTCCGTGACACTTCTTGGCTGTGTGACTTTCGTCAAATTAGTACTCATATCTCAGTTTCCTCCCTGGGAAGAGGGGATAATACCACCAACCTGCCTGAGACCGTTGTGAAAGTAATAAATGTGGAATCTATAGAGCATTCAATAGATGTTAGTGCTTCTAGATGCATATCTCAATTCCAGTCAACCTTCCTGAGATATGAAACTGAATTTTACCCAGCTATTCATAAGGAATCATAATGATCCTGTTCAGATACTATTCCAAGCTTTTTGTTTCCAGTAACTTTTCAATCATGGATATCACTCTGCTTTCTTTTCATAAAATCAGACTTCACACTATCTAGCCTGGAGCTATATATTTAAATGTTGCTTAAGTGAATTATCAAGTAAACGAACATGAGAAATAAACTGGCATTCTTGAGCACTATGGAGGTGAATTAGGGCTGAGATAGAGCCCATGAGAGTCTACGGAGACAGTGAGCACAGCATGGAAAAGCTGACTGTGGCATCCAGTTAGGAGAGAAAATCTAGTCCATTCCAGATAACTTCTGCTCTTCATGAGATGTGAAGAGTAGTGTGGCCAGGGGATTTATGATTATGAAGAAGAAATTCATGGTTTGGGGGAAGAAGGGAGGAGGAGATGGCAAGATTCCTGTGCAACATGAAGAAAGTTCCAGATTCATGATCTTACAAACAGAATAACAGTATATAATACTTCGGTGCAAGATACAGTTACCTGCCTGAGTACATGACTGTGTGCGCTGATGTGATGTAATACTATGTGACATGGGGAAGAAAGTTAACAAATTCAACAGATCTGGTCATAAAAATGAACACTCAAGTCAAAAAAGTACAAGGACAGGAGGAGAAAGAAGCTATGTGAGTCTAAGACTAATAGTGATTAATTAGTGATTCAACAAAGGGATGGGCTCTATCATGAAGGAGAATGCTTCTGGTTAATAGAGTTATCTATTAAGAGCACAGAAAAATAAATAATATTTCAGGATTGGGTGAAGAATTAATCGACAAACCTCTAAGGTCTTCTCCAATGATAAGATTTCATATCTTTCTACTCAGTGTAACATTCAGTCCTGTCTTACAACATAATATTTTTTAAGTCAATAACGCTAACAAAACCCCCAAAACGACACCCTCTGCGATCCAGTCCCAAAAAGAAGGGCAGGGTGGGATGCAGTTTTTCCTCACCAGTTCATAACAAACCCACCAGTACCAGCTCATCCTAACATTTTCAAAATGATAATGGCTTTTTTTTTTTTTCCGGTACGCGGGCCTCCCACCGTTGTGGCCTCTCCCGTTGCGGAGCACAGGCTCCGGATGCGCAGGCCCAGCGGCCACGGCTCACGGGCCCAGCCGCTCCGTGGCACGTGGGATCCTCCCGAACCGGGGCACGAACCCATGTCCCCTGAATCGGCAGGCGGACTCCCAACCACTGCGCCACCAGGGAAGCCCTATAATGGATATTTTTTTAAGAATATTTAAAATGCTTAAGAGTTCAGTTCAATTCCCATTCACCTAACTAAATATCACAAGTGTGTGATAACTGTCCAGGACACCATGAAGTATCTGATTCACTGACAGCTCCACCTTTACTTCCTGACCCCAACTCACTTCCCTGCTTTAGGGAGTGGTGTGACTGGAAATGAGCAAGTGCACTGACAGCTGCAGGCAGAAGTGATATCCTCCTGTAGCAGGATACAGGAGAGTCAGAGACCAAAAGAGATATATGATCCTGACACCAAGAAACTGAAGTTCTAGCTTCTACATAAAAATCTGGATAGCAGAATTAGATAAAAGAAATTCTACTGCAGCTGTTAATTTCCATGTCTGATGAATTTTATTGAGGATTGTGGGTGGACACAAATAAATGCTTATGCTAAATGCAGATACATTTGATGACAGAAATGAATGAAAGTTTAAAAAAGGGGTCGGGGAGGACTGAGGGAGCTCAAGGACAAAAGGGATAGATCTAAATACAGTAACATATTTAGAAGCCAGATGACTTGTGCCAGGTTCTCAAAAAACAGAAAATATTTACATGTGAAGAAGGAAATATGGAATTCACAAATGACAGCCATAAAATACTTAATTAACTAATATAATTAAAGTATGAAGTTCACCCCTTAACCAAAGGAACATGAATGGTAGAAATTAATGTGTAAATTATCATGGCGATACATTAAAATGCTGAGAAATCAATGTATTACTAATGTACGGCATTTAACTGAAGATTGGAATCAAATCCTGCCATCCTCTTACTCATTCCAAGTAGACGTCCACTTGTCAGCTAAGACCCAAGCTTAGGTTTATTCCTACCTCTCTGAAGAGTGCACCATAAAACTGAACAATGTACGGGCAATCACTACTTCGCATCACTACATCCAAATCCATGAGAAGTTGTTTTTGCTCTTTTTCATCCACTGTTGACCGAATTCTCTGGAAAAAAATGACAAAAGATGTCACAAAAACATAAAACAACTTTAGAAACCAAAGAAAAACCACTACCACAAGACTAAAAATTCCAAGCAGACTTCACGAATACTAACCAGACATAAAAATTATCATCTTCCTTATACTTTACAAGAATAATTTTATCACAGAAAAACAAAACAGCACTTAGAAAAAAATTTTTTTGACAAAATAGCACGTAGGAACTCTTTAAGGGACACAGGGCTTTTTAACCACAAGCATTCACTGATGATGATGGAAGGAATGCCCTGCCGGCAAATATAAAGAAAATCTTAACAAGCCATCCTCTAAACAGTTTACGTTGAATAATTATCAGTAGTTTCATACATACTTTTAATTACTATTTCAGAATTGTATGGAATCTGGGCATTCAACGCAAGAGCAGCCCTCTTCACTCCCTGGCATCCTTACGCCTTAGCATCCTCCTTCTTTAGAGATGGAAAATAGCCCAGAACAGGTAAAAGTGAGAACTAGCATAGGGGCAGCACACAGACTATGACCCATGTCTCCCAAATCCTGTACTGGTATCTTCCCCCTTCACCACGCTTTCTGTATGTTAAAAACAAAAAGTTCTACCTGACTCTCCAACTCGTGAGTCAGAATGCAGGGCAGCATAAACATGTGGAGGAAAATCTAAAAATGAGGAGACAGAGGGCTGTTTGTCTGCTCCTCAGATGATGAGGTCCTCCCCTGTACATTGCAGACCTGGGGTATATCCCCAACCCACCTGTAAAACGACGACTCTGCACAATTCTAAAAGACTCCCACAAAAGATAAGGGTCCCCAGCCCTGCCACCCACCCAGGAACTGCACAGAACATGGAGATGTTCAGGGCGACAGCTCCCACTGCACTAGAGACAGGAAAGAATCAAGTTCAGACAGTGTAAAATATTAATAATGAAGTTACAGTTTAATGACAAGGCATGCAAACAGCTCTGTTCTCATAAAAAAAGTTCACAATGTCACACCGCGCCACTGTGTACAATACATAGCACATACTTACAAGGCAAGTTAGTATCAAAAAATATACAAGGTGGCATTTTGTCTTCCAAAGACTTCAAGGTATCTGTCCTCAATGTTCTTGAAAGGGTGAAGGCAGTCAATTAAACTCTTGAACCCATTTTACGGAAGAGAAGCCAGAGGCACAGAGAAATACAAAAGATGTATTCCATGTGACACGACAATAAGCAGGTGTATAAGGAATAGAAGTAGGTTCTCTAATTTTCATTTTTCCCACACTAAATGAGGAATTCCACATATTCCAAATACAAACAAATTTAATTTTGCAACTTAAAATTTACAGCCTGCTAGCTACAGTACTTCATACCAAATAAAATTTACTAGCTGGCATCCATCTTGTACATACTGATTTATTCCAAACTTTCACACTGAATATCCTGCCCAGATAAATAAGAAAAAAATAAGAAGAATGAAAAATAAAAACAAGTAAGACTAGTACTTTTAAAATTAAGAAAATCCCCCCCTCCCATTTCTGTACTTTCATAGTTTGGAGATTAATAATTTTGCTTTTAAATCAATATCGGCATAATGTCTGCTCAAAAGGGATAGTTTTAAAAAGTCAAATTAGCCCAGAGATGTAATTTGTATTTGTTCAAAACATGACACTGAAATTTTTGTAAACATTTTAATTACATTAACTTCTGTTTTAAAAAATATAACTTTAAAAGTGTAGCTGTGAAAATACTAATTTGGGAACGCTATTATTTTTAAAAGACTTAATAATCCTATGTATCTAAACTTAAAAGACAAAGAACTGGTAATTAGAGACAAACAGGGAAGAAAAAGCAAATGATCCTCTGGTTGCGGAAGATTTCTACCTACTAAAGAATTCTCACTATTAATAGATTAAAGATTTTTTTTTCTACTTTTACTATTTTTCCTTATTTACAAGTGTACTAACACACACACTTATAAAACACTATTTTAAAAGATGCCCTCCTTTCTAGTTTATTTTTTGTTTCCCTAAACTGGTTATATGGTTTTCTAAATTTACAATAAACCTCAGTACTTATCATCAATAACTGACTCTTGGGGACCAGTTTCTAAAAACACTGCTGTTGCTACAGAAAGGATACATGTTACTGTGTGAACTGGAGACCTAACTGAAGTCCCAGCATCTAACTGATGTAATAGGATTATTACTAACCATACTGGAGAGAAGAGTTCCTGGCACAGCTGTAATCTCAGATCGTCAGCATGGCAGGAAAATCTGTCTATCTGTAAAATATTCTTTAATGCCATTGCTAGCATGAAAGAGAACATGGGGGGGCTGCTGGATGGCCTACTGCTCTTAATGATGCCTGTCCCCACCTCCTCACGCTTTCTGAGCATCTCGCCCAAGAGATGGGCGTTGGAGGACTAGCTGCTGGTACTGCATCTCAATTGTTTAAAACAGAGCAAGTACAGCTAGCTCTGAATTATACTGATACTAAAGTTTTAGGGTCGTATTGTAACCTTTATTATATGTGAGGAATTAATAAACTAAGTTAATTCAAAAGGCCTGAAGGACTCAAAGAGGAGATTAACTATAAGCATACATCTCCTACAATAGCAGTAGCTTCAAATTAATGATTTTAATTCAGTAATTCAATAAGTAATTCAAGTTAGAAAACACAAATAATCGATGATTCAAATGAAAAAATACTTAGTAATAAAAGTCACTACCAGGAAAGTTTTTCTAATTGAACATCAAAGTAATGTGTATGGAAAAGATTTCTACCATTTGAAATAAGCAAGGCTCGGATTCTCTAATGAAGGGAGCATAATCACCAAAAATGGAACACATCACTGAGAACAAACTTCCCTTCCCCTTATAAAGCTGTCCTTAATGAGGGTACTGGAAAATGCAAAGGTGAAGCCAATTACACTACTTGAAATGCTCCTGTAATTTAAATGTTCAGAAATCAAATGTGTTGATAAATGCCTTGAATTACAGGAAATTTTCATTTATTGATACCATAAATTTAAAGTTAGATAAGGCTAATGTTCATTTGGTCAGCAAACCCTTTTTTTTTTTTTTTCTATTTAAGAAAGTAGAAAATATTTAAGAAAATCATCTCAAGAACCTTAAGTTTTAAAGAAAAGTTTCACTTTCACCCAAATATCATTAAAATTACTCTTGTTTCTTCATTATGGGGCTATTGAGCTTTTACTTGTCACTGTTTTATTAACCTAGCTTAAGTTATCACATTCTCTCAGGACAAACTAAACTACGTTTTGAAAATCAACCTACACAGCATTTCCAATAATGAAGTTATTTTCAAATTATTACAATTTTACTTTATTTGGAACATAATGTAGAGAAAACACTTTTAAAGCAAAACAAGAATTACTACCCTACTTATATAAGCAGTTTGCTACAGTGAAGAAATTTTATATACCTGAAGCTAAAAATATATTTTTAAAATTGTTGTCCAAATCTGTATACAAAGCTGTTTTATACTCTGATAAAGCTTTAAAAGCAGGTAAGTGCCAACAAAAACTGCATGTAGCTACAGATCAGCAACACCAAAATGACTCTCATTTAGACACTTAGTAGAGGCAAAGGGAAAAAAAGATAAATTCCTAGTTCCCTGGTTGTATGACTATTAGTGTTATACATGGTTCTTATCTAATTAAAAAAAAATTCCAAAGAGCTTCACTTATCTAAAGCAGCCAATCCAACTCATGCCATTGGCTGAAGCAGCCACAAATTCAGTTACTAGAACTCTGTAAGGATTAAGCTACAGTTATAGAAAGTCAACAAGTTCCATAGGACAAGCTAAAAAATTTAAGTTAGAAATTGCCCTCTTGCCCTCTCCTACCTCATGCACAGAACTCAGCAATGCCCACTTTGAGAACAGTCCCAATCATACAGAAATACCAGGAAGTGGTTGAAAGTTTGCTTTCCTTCTTCCTGTACAATGTGACATCTTCAAGTCATTGGTAAATTTAAATGTTGACAGCTTATACCTGGCCTCATCTGGAATGCCTCAATTTTTAACAACATGAATTTAAAGTATAAATACTCCTTTCACTGGGATTTCACACACAGTATTCTCTCGCCTTATCTCCAAACCCTGCCAACCCGACCTCTCACGTAATTTGCTGGTACTCATCAAGGATGAATAGTTAGGGACAAAACTAACACCAGTAAGTATGAAGGACTTTCAAGTTGATTAAGACACATTATTAGGATGGAAAGGGACTGGGGGAACTATTAAAACTAAATTCACTGAAGGACTGGGGTGGAAAGGGCAGAGAGAAAGAAGCCAAGAGGATGGATGAAAACAGGCAGTACACACTCTTAAGGAAACCGATTTCACCCCTTGTTACTGAGATACTATGACCGCATTAGTGTCGCTTTCCTAAATTTATTTTCAGAGGTCAGGTCAGAAGGGATAAAGGGAGAGTATGATGATGACCCACTCGCTATTATGGGGTAAGGCCAGGATGGCTCAACTGGCAAAGAGAAAATGAAAAAAGGCCCACAGCGTAGGTCCTCAGAAGCGGGTCTCCAAGGAGCATTTTGCCTGGGCGTTCAATGAACACCTAGCTGATTCCAGTAGTGTCCTTGCCACCCACTCTGATTCAGAGTTAACCCACATCTCCGTGTCAGAGTTCTCAGAGCTAGCTCAGTTGCTAGAGAAGCCAGGCACACACCAAAGCACTGGGGCCCGCCCTGAAAGGACCCCAGTCTGTGTCTGCCTGTGTCCTATGCAAGAACTCTGGACTCTCACCAAAATCCCAAAGTTGTTCTACCTGCCAACTCAAGCTATAAGGAAAGGTCAGGCCAATGACCAGCTCTATCTGTTGGATAATGTGTGTGTGGAGAAGTCCCTCTGGGTTACCTGATCCCATTCGTGTTTAGAGAAGGAGAAAATAGGTCATCACATACTCGAAAGACTCAGGGTAAAGAAGACTGATAAGTCATACATGTTCCTGATTAAAAACAGTAGTTCCACAAT